CTGCTTTCGAAAATAATTCATGATCCGTCGTCTTGGAATTTTTCCATGAAATTGTATCGTAATGAATTCATAATGAATTATAATGAAACCAAAGCTCCTTGGAGAAAATTGGGAGATTCGTGGTCCGTCCATCCGTCCTCGTGGGATTTCCCCATAAAATTTAATCGTAATGAGTCCGTATTTGCCAAGTAATGTATTTTAGAAAATATTTTTTGTCAGTTTGTCAGGCTTCATTATAATCTAATTTCATATTATACATATTCTCTGTTTGACGAGTATTATAAGCGTCATCGCTAGTAAGGTCGACACGGTTAACTAGTTAAGAAAAAATTGGTCTCATTCTGGCATACCTGAATTCGTCTGATAAGGGCAGTTGATCATTACTATAGGGTTAATGATAGAACAAGGTGACAATTGGGATCCTTAGTTGTTTGTGTGCGGACGTTTATAATGATACTGTAACTATGCATATTGACCTAAGGCTGCTTTATAGATGTTAATAAATTAAAATGGACAAAAAACATGTTTCTGCGCATAATATTCGTATCTGGACGCTATGCTGTTGACTACATATTGTTGTTTTATTCTTCTTACCTATTGAAAGTTTTGTATGTTTTCTATATTACTTCTTTTTTTTCAGGTGGAATTGGCCTTGTGGGATACAGCTGGTCAGGAGGATTATGACAGACTTCGACCTTTGAGTTATCCAGATACAGATGTAATATTGATGTGTTTCTCGGTAGATTCCCCAGATTCTCTAGAAAATATTCCTGAGAAATGGACCCCTGAGGTAAAGATTTTATATACATTTTTTCTGTCTTAGTAAAGTTTTTATATTCTTGAGCAGATTTTATCTAGCAATGCTTTGTTGAAAGTTGCATTATCGGGGTAGTGGTACCATCAGTTCGGTACATGTTCAAAAACTTATGATCCTAACAATTGAGATAAAAACTTGGCATATATGCTCTTTGCGGATAGCAATAGACTCAGCTTGAAAATGGGTGCGATTCTCCCCGCAAGCAAACACACTTTCGATAATAGTCAGAAAATTCTAACGCAACATACAATGTAATGCAATGTGCGATATTTGAGCATAACTCGCACGTGTGAGCGGGAGACTACAAATCTTGCTTGAAGTCTCTCAGCCACATACTGCAAAAGGCTCAAATGGGTGGCGAAAATATGCTTAAAATTCTTGATACACTCGAACAGTGGGCTATATAGTGCTTATGGACAAGTATATCCAGGGCAACTGTTCTGCAGAGATAAAACAGATATGTCCAACAATTAAGTTCTTTGCCGGAACCACAAGGTTTTCTCAATATTCCCATCCCACGACAGACCGCTGCGACATTTCGATCTTTAATCACACAGCCTGCCTCTCGAAAAACCTTGTAGTGGTCTTTTTCATCGTGCCTAATGTTCCCTAACGTACGTCACGCGTACATAGGCATTGCTCACGTTTTCCATTCCTCTCTACTTATAGCCCATCGTGCTAATGCAGGGAACATCTCCTTAGTAAAATGTTCCTTAAATCTCGCTGGTGGTTCAAAGACAATTCCAAAAATGCACAGAGCTTTCTTAGCTATCGAATATAAAAACTTGTCTTATTACGCGACTGACTTTTGAACTAAACCATCACATATATTAGTGTTCCCCTTAGATAGATGTTTTCTAATATTTGTCACTTTTCAGGTTAAACATTTTTGTCCAAACGTTCCCATTATATTGGTGGGCAATAAAAAAGATTTGCGAAATGATCCCAATACAATTAGGGTAAGTATATTAATTAGCCTATTCTTACCCATATAGTATACACAAATAACAAACGATTTCTTCCTTTTCTCTCTTTCTCTCTCACTCCCTAAATTTAGGATCTTGCGAAAATGAAGCAGGAACCAGTTAAGCCGCAAGAGGGTCGAGCTATGGCTGAAAAAATTAATGCCTTTGCCTATTTGGAATGTTCAGCCAAGTCTAAGGAAGGTGTTAGAGATGTCTTCGAAACGGCCACTAGAGCCGCATTACAAGTTAAAAAGAGAAAGAAGACCAAATGCATTTTACTCTAAAAGAGTCTATAAAAACCTAAAGAAAAAAAAAAAAGAAAAAAAATAATGTAGCGACAACCAACAGCAACAGTAACGGCAACAACAACTATCTTATACACACAATCAAGATTAGCACACACGCTCCTCCAGCTTTTTTTTATATATATACTTTTTTTTTGTATTACTTTTCTCTTTGCAAGTTCTTAGTTCGGCATAACGGGAGAAAAAAAGAGCGATAATTAACGGAAAAAAATTGTATTTTCTATAATCTTTTAAATGTTTTCCTTTCGTTATATCATAATTATATTTCTATATCGTTTTATTACTATTTTTAAGAAGAAACTTTGATATCCATTTTGAAAAAAGTAAGCATAGAAAATAAAATAGACATATATATATATATATATATATATATATATATATACATATATATATATATGTGTTTACGAAAACAACTTATTTTCATTTGTAGTTTTAGAATTTCACATCAAGTTTATCTAAAAAAAAAAAAAAAAATTAAATTAAAGAAAAAAAATTAAGTCTTGTATGTACGCTTGTGTCGAATTTGAATTTGTGGCAAATACACAAATAATAGTTTAATTCTTATTTATATTGATTTTTTTTGTTTTTTTCTGTTTTGTTTTTTATTTTCTTTTCAAAGTATTAATTACTTAAAGGCCGCTGAGTGTTTAGCAATAACTGTTGTTGGTTTAATATAAGCTCGCCTAGTAAAACACACCCGTTTGCTGTCCGTGTGCACATGAGCGGAAGTGTGTGTGTCTATGCACGGTAAAGCTACAAATTCAATTTTTCTACTAAACCTATTTAAAGGAAAAAAAAAAAGGAAAAACAAAATAAAAAACCTGTCTAAAAGGAAGAAATTGAAAAGCAAGAAACAAAAAAGAAAACCGCCAATATACACAAATCAACCAATTACCACAAACTAAATGCATTCAAATATTTTTTCTTATTGAAATAAAAACAAAAGAAAAAACCAAAAAAAAAAAAACAAATTAAAATTGAAAAAAAAGAGAATATTTTTGTGTAAAGTAAAAAATTTTAAGACATTTTCTCACTTTTAAAACAAAACAAAAATTAAAACACACACCGACTATATCAAGAAATAAAAAAAAAAAAAATTTATATCTAAATACACACACATAAACACAGACGCAATTATTAGTCTGTATTAGCTTTTGTATGGTGTGATGAAGTTTACGCTTGCGTTGCACTGCATTTCAATTTTTATAATCTGATTATTCTGGTTTCCTTTCATTACCGTTAGCCATAGCTGTCATCTGTCGCTTCAATCAATTGAGTGCGAGTTTGGTTTTTTTTATTTACGGAAAATTTCTTTTAAAGCAGTGTCTTCTGTTACTTTCTTTTCTTTTTTTCTTTTTATTAAATCAAATGCAATTTTTTTCAAAAATTTTGTCTTTTGTATTCGGTTTTTATTTTTTTTTTTATTATTTTCAAAATACATTTTTTTTTATTTTTTACAAAAAAGAGACGAAATACATTTTTTGTATATTACGGACTTTACATAATATATTCCTTAACCAATAATGGTAAAAAAAAAAAATAAATAAATAAAAATATTTTACTAATACTTACATATTATATAACGAGATAAAACAATAAAAATGAAACAAAAAGAGAAGAAAATTAATTTTTTTTTATTTTCATCTTAAATGGCAAGAGTGCGTTATAAATGCCTTGAAGACGCCCCTCTGAATTATATAAATTCTCTTACACAGCAAACTTACGTAGTGTAATTCGGACCATTTTCCCTGTCCATGATATATGGCTCGAATAGCAACTAAAATCGGTTTTTCCCCAGAGATTTTTAAAACCAAAATAAAATAAATGAAAAAGGACCACGATTTTCATCACAAGATCGTTCTTGACCTCCAATAGCTTTAGTAATAACTGGTAAATACATGTTACAAATACAAGAAACTTATATTCGCTCGAGACAGAATCCTTAATACGCATCACTGTCATGCAAAAAAAAAAAAAGACCAAAAGGCAGGAAACTAACTAAATTTTTCTATTCTTTAATATAGGACGGTTGGGTTTATATGGTGTACGTGTTGTACTTTGCGAGTAACAAGCAAAAGACACGGAAAGTTGTTCACATTTTTTATTTCATGGGCGTGCCCTTTATTTCGTTTTGAGTCATTCTTAAATTCTTTTTTTTTTCGTTTTTGCGAACGGGAAGATCTTTACCGCAGACACTACACTACATTACACACTTGGGCAGACAGATAGATGGACAGATAATTTATGAGATCTTTTGAAGTTTGCTTCTGTGCGCTATAGAAGCATTGAGCAAAAAAAATTAAATATTGATATGCTATCAAATGGGTAGGGCGAGGTCAATTTTTCCTATTTTTGTACAGATACAGATGAGCATCGCCCATAGAATATACTGGCAAATTTTTGTGTTTAGCTTATGAATAATGAGTAAAAAACACATTTTTTTCCCTTTGCAAAATAGAACGCGTTCATAATTTTAGGGGTAGTATAGGCGTGACCTTTGACCGATTTGCGTCCAGAAACTTCAAATGTTTCTGTGAAACTTGAAGTCAATAGTTTCATTGTTTACAATGAATAGAACAAGCATTGCACAAACGGACAGACGGACGGACATAAATTCAGAATTTGGTGTTAATCAAGAACATGTACACTTTGAGCAGCGTTTAAAGCTTCATTCTGGGAGTTGCAAACTTTATAATAAAATGGATATACCGCTCATTTACCGAGAATAAAATTTGCTTTCCACTTTTACTTGAAAGTTCATGACAATGACCGCAATTGATTTTTAATAAAGAAGAAATGACTAAATGCTGATAACTGCTGCTGCTGCTGTGCGTACTATATTTTTTGCCTATTTTTAGAAATTACACGTTTGAATAAGTGAGTGCAGCATGCTTCGCCGCTAGCAGAGCGGCCGGGTTATTTAAAGCACGCTTATAACGAAAGAAACAAACATAACTTCTTTCACTGTCTGAAATATTTTTCCGTTCAATTATATTTTGTTGAAATTTGTAGAAGCCTTTAAAAAAAAAATGATGATGAAAAATTCAGGCTTAAGTAGTTCGCTTTTGTAACTTAGTCTCATTTTCTCCCAACAACTCTCTCTAGCAGTTAAAGGCAAGAAAACGGTTATATTCCTCTTCAAAGAATATCAAACGGATCATGTAAATACGGGAAGAAGAAGGAAACAAGGAACATTGATCTAGTTTTAAGCTTAGAATTTTTAAATAGTTCAGGGCTTGCTCGAAAGTCTTTATTGTAATACTCTCAAATAATTTTTTGAGTTCTTTTAATCTTTCCGAGAATCTTATACACTGTTTACAAACCCTTATTCAAATATGTTCCGAGATGAACAACTTTAGTGTAAGTTAATGGTGATATTTCCCTTAAAATTCGCATCTTTACTTGCTATTTTAATCCATACTAAGACTTGACTGAGTTTATAAAAAATATTAAAAAAGCTGATCAGTTAAGCTTGGAAGGAAATACTCTTTAATTAGTCAATTTTTTGTTTGTTGCTTCTTCTTTTTTTTTGCGCGATATAAGTGAACTTTAGTGCATTATAAAGTCTAAGGGACGGTGGGCAAAACATAATGGGAAGGAAAGAAAAAGTGTATATATTAAATATTAATGAAAAAATAATTTACAAGATATAGTAGAAGAGTAAATATCAAAACATAATCGGTTTATCTTTGCGCTGATCTATCACATAGGCGGTAAAGCGTTTAAGGAACTTTGGATATTCGCGTTTGTAAATAGCACGTAAAGCCGAAGCAGGAGCCCAACCACCAGGATTAACCACCGAACAATAGGTAATTTTACAGGTTAAATCCTTACGGCTTAATTGATCATTGGTATTCTTATTTGCTGGCAACAGCGTTTGGCAGGCTAGTATTACGGTCAATAATATGCGCACACATCTACCATTTTTCGACTCTTGCTTAGAATAGTCTGTTGAATTATTACAAACAATCCAACAATCGACGGCTTCCTCGTCTAGATTATTCGTTATTTTTCGCATATGTGACCAAAAGAGAGCATCACGTTGACTGGCTGGCCAGACTCGTTTATGCGTTTGTAAAAATAGGTAAGTATCGGAAGAGATTTTCTCTAGAATAATGCATTCCTCTAAAGTAGTCTCCCACTCATTCCGGAACTCTGGCATAAAGAAATAATGACACATTTCGCGTGCTGTGACCCCTTTTACTGTATGGTAAGCCTTTAACGGATCCATTACCATGCCATTCACTTCCACTTCGCGTTTATACATTTTTATTTCACCTTCGTCGGCAAATATTTGCCAACCATTGCCATCTTGGCCGACACCTTCTCGGGCATAATGCAACTGTTCTTCGCAGACGCGATCTATCTCAGGCCAAAGACTATGACCGCTTGCCAAAGAACCCGTACCAAACTCTTTATCGTCATCATCTACCAGATTGTCATCCACTGGCTGATTCAAACCTAATGCTGTATAACTATGGGCGGATATCTGCGAAAGTTGCGTTTGCAGTTTTAATTTTGCTCGCAATTGCATGTCTTCTTCGATTTTATCTAGACCGGTTTCTACAGCATCGAAAAATTCATCCTCGGGTAATGTGGAATGTGGCCCTTCTTCAAAATCTGGCCCCGGATAAGAAATGCTTTTGAATTTTTCAATTTCTAATTTATATTTTCTAATTTGTTCTTCTAATTTTTTCCGTTTTTCAATTTCGCGTTCCAATTTCCTCTTCCACGTAAGATCCCTTTCCGATATTATTTCTAAACAATGCTGTAATGTATTAAGAACCCCCGTAGTGGTGGCCCGAAATGTTATAGATTCCCCTTTAAAATCCGTGGATGTTAAATCAAAACCGAAATCGAAAGATTTACCCGGTGCTTTATTGGTTTCTGCGCAGGCATCAAAATATCTTTGTAAGGTTTCTATTTGTCCAAATAATATGTTCTTAAATGTTTCAATTTCGTCGACTTTTTCCTTAAGATTGTATTGAGTCCTTTTCAAACTGCCACCACTTGCTACCGATATTGTAGTGGATTGCAAAGATACGTTACTTCCATGGCGTTTTAATGATGTCGTATCCGTTGTGCTGGCATTATCCTCTTTATACATTTGCAATACTTCGACCCAGTGCATACGATCTTCTGGTGTATCGGCACGTAAACACCAATTATTGGAATTATTGACAACAACATCAAAACGAAGTTCATCCGATTCGTGTGTTTTAATTATGGCTTTACTTAAGCTAATAACACCACGACAGCCAAAGTCTGATTCAGACTCGGATTTATAATAGGACAAAGTGGCATCTTTTAGTACAATATAACGGGGCTGCCAACCATAGATATAATTTGTCCATTTATTAAGATAACCACGTAATTCAATTGAGTTATCAAGATATTCAGGGTCAGAGTCACTTTGTGATTCTGACTCATTTATCATATTATTTTTTTCATCTATTATTACTTGAGCAATCCCATTAGTAGTAGTATCGGCATTGCCAAGCCCATCAATCTTTTCTTTTTTAGCATGATCCATGTTGATGTAGTTATACTTAAGGTAATTTGTTCCTATATTTACTTTAGATCTTTAAATTATATGTGAAAGTTTTCGTTATCCACGATTGTTATTATTGTCATTAAGCGGATAAAAAAATACTTTTCTTGTTGCACTTTTCAATTTCTTACACTTTAAGTTCAAGCGACGTCAAGCGACGCTTTACAGTTTACCGTTTAATACCCCACTTTTATTTAGACTCCAGTGTGAAAGCGTTTCTTTTCTTCTTTATGGAAAAACAAAATTCTATTATTAGCTACGGACTTATTTCTTCATTTAACAATGTTCTCACACTTTGCATTTACTGCTCTTCACCTTTAAACAATAAATCAAGTTTTTTAATTATTAGAGACGCGGATTATTAAAAAAAGAAAAATTTCAAGCATTTCTTTGTAATTTTTTTTCTTTGAAGCGCACAGAAAATGCATATATTTATTATTATTTGCAAATTCTTTGCTCTTTCTTATTTCGCGCAGCAATGACGTGAAGTTATCAACGAGTTTTTCTCTTCATTACTTTTTATTTATGCTCAATTCGACATAGTCTTAAGATGTTATATTAATATCTGTTGTCTCGCTGTTAATAAAAACAGCTGATGTATAAAGTAAATACAGCTGTTGTAGTAAACAGCTTGATTTTTTCATTTTGAAGAAAGAAAGGAATTATTTTGAATAAAAGGATATCAAATCGAATATTGAAAAGCAGTCTTTTTTATTTAAAGATTTTTTCGTCATCGGCTTGAATTTTGCGTTAATTTTAATAAAAATTGCTGTTAATGAACGTACGTATAAACATTCAATCCGTTGACTATCATTTCCCCTGCTTTATTTTAGATAGAGAATAGAGAAGAACGCAAGTGCTCGTTTTTTTTCTTGTAATAATAAATCGGCAATTATTAGGAATTAGTCTTTTTTTTCTTCAAATTTATTAAATAAATTATGTTGTCTTAGACATCAAAATTAGGAATACATTAGTATGTGACTTTTTCGATTTTTAATTTTTTTTTTCTTAAGTGAAGGAGAAAATAAATTTTGTAGCATTAAACAATTCAATTGGTTCGATTATTGTTTTAATATTGGTGTAGGATTCTCGTATTTATTACTTTTACTAATTTAAGAAAGTTTTAACAAGTTTTCCTTTTATTTCTTCAATTTTCAACATTTAACGTATATTCTATATACTGAACTGACTGATATTATTATTATGATAATAGTTTATTAGTGTTATTAGAAAGTGTTTTAGAGGTTTTAAGTACAACGGACGTAGTTTTTCTATGAATGTAATAATTATTAATTATAATAGCTGGGCTTATGTGCGTGTTCTTTAAAAATAAATTATATATTAACATATTTTGTATATATATGCATTTCTCATTTTCTTGTTTCCTTAACTAAATAACAAAAATTAATAAATATAAAAATTAAATTATTGTACTGTACATGAACTTAGTGTTTTTAATGGGCATTTGATATGAAAATCACAAAAACAATTTAATAACTAAACAATATTTGAAAAAACAAAGGAAACAACAAATAAATTAAAAAGTTAACAACAATAGTTAATTAAAAGAGATAGAGAGAAAGAGAGAAATTGAGTTTAGGAATCGAACTTTTCTGATTTAGTAACTTTTTTTTAACTTAACATTTAAGATGTATATATGTATATGTAAAGACAACTAGTTGGAGCTTTGTATGGTTTACATAAATTTAACAATAAATTCTATGGATAATTACTTCAACTTTTCTTCTGGTATGACTTTTTTGTTTGTTGTAAATTGGCAAATAAGTGTGTATTTTTCTTTTGTTTTCATATTCTTCGTATGTGGAACCTAATTTTCATTGAACTTTTTTGGTTTTTTTTTGTTGTTCTTTTTTGATTTGTCTTTATGTTATGTTCTCTTTGGCCTTAAATACTAAAAATTAAATTTCAAATTTATGAACGTATCGTCCAATTCAATTCAAGTTACGGCGTCGTCGAAATACTAAAGCAAATATGGAACGTATACGCCACCAACGACTACGTCGCCTTGAATCCAATTTCTCTGAGCTTGTACCGTTGCCTAAAGCTCTTTCCTTTTCTTTGCGTCTAATCTCACGGACCAAAGCGTAAAATACGTCGTCAATATAAAGCCGTAAAGCCGCCGACGTTTCAAAAAATGGACAACCGAATTGATTGGCTAAATTTTTACCTTCCTCGGTGGAAACTTTTCTTAAAGCCTCCAAATCACTTTTATTCGCTATCAATACCAATGGTATATCTTCAGTGAAACGTACTCTTTGTATTAATTTACGATATTCCGAAGCCTCTTCATAGCTATGACGATCAATTACCGAATAACAAATAATAAAACCTTCACCGCAGCGCATGTACTGATCACGCATTGCCGTAAATTCGACTTGACCAGCCGTATCGAGTATATCCAATAGTGCAGCTTCGCCGTCAATAACTGCTTGCTGTTGATATGAATCCTCTACAAACATGTAGATAATAAAATAAAAAAAAGAACAAGTAAATATGTTACAGTGGAACGCAGCATATTATTAAATATCCTACACCATTTTGTTTAATACAATTATTCAAATAAGTCTTAATATGGGGAATAGATGAAAAAGTCCGATCTGAACCACTTTTAATAGCGTTCGTCCTTGGGCCACACACAAAATTGCACAACATTTCACAAATTATGACCTGTAGATTGAACAGAAGAAAACAAGACGTAAAAACGTACAAATGGGCAGACGTCGACTCAGAAAGTGATCGAAAAATTGATTGCGACCCGATTGGTATACTAAAAGTTTGATCTACCTTACGTCCTTTTTTAGCCTAAAAATCATCATAGAAATCTAAAATTAGTGCCGCAATAACAAGTTGTGTAGGGTATAGAAAATTATAGAATACTGTTTTTGGTTTGCATTCTAAAAAAAATTCGTTAGTTAATGTAGAGTATATAGTTATGGGGGATGGAGGGGTTGTCTAGTGAAATTATAGTCGTTGATCATAATACATACTGGCACCCAATGTAGGATTAAAACACTAATTCCTGACCATTTCAACTCATTTTCATAGTTTTGTTTGATTTAAAACGAACACCATACAAAGGTAGTATATTCATTTCATTCAAAGTGTCCTCATAATATATCCTTATGGACGGCGGGACTATTTCTTGATGTAACGTAAGAATGGAGGCAATTTTAAAAACTGCAAAGCACAGACCGAAATAACTTGTTATGTATGTAGACAGAATATACTTTCATAAAGTTTGAACGCGTAAAGTTGTTTTTTGCAGGCCTCTGCGGACTTTTTGTCTTCAACTCTCCATCGGTATGCGATTCGATTTTTTTTGAAAATTCCGTAAATTTTTGAAAACCCTATCGTTCCAAAAAGGAACACGTCATGTTGCGAATAGCTGAAGCATTCCAATTCTTTCAAACTTATTGGGTCAAGTTTAGTGAATTAACAGAACCGTTGTAACTAATGTGAGTCAAAATTTTCAACGGAAAATACATATAATAATTTTTAGCGTTCTTTTTAAGTTGAGGAATAAATGATAATGAAAAATGGCATTTCAGTAGTTAGGTAGGTATATCTTTTGCTTTTTGTCCAATTTTTGGAAAGGAAAGAAAATACAAATCATAAGTTAGTACATTTTTATCCATTTTATCAAAAATGCTATTAATATGTTAATTATTCAGTATTTGCAAAAATTTTGATCAGCGATTTCTACAGGTAAAAAAGATCAGGATATGGAAAATAGCTGTGTAGACAACGTTTGTTTGGGTGTCAAGATTCTTCTTCTTCCAAATTCATTACTTTATTGTTTATTTGAAGAAATCTGCTCACCAACGAAGTTGCGAGGCTTATGGTGATGTTGCTTCATCATATCCCAATTGTTGGTTTTGTGTTCAACGGTTTAAAAGTGATGACACCAATTGACTGAAAACGACTTTTTTTGGACACTTGTTGCAAGAGTAGTCAAAGATACGATGTTGCAGCTCGAATGGGAAATCCTGCCACACTCAGCATGCTCACAGGAGGAGCATTGCCAAACTATTATAAGTCCTTTCGACATGATATCGTCATGTTATAGAAAATGATGGAAACTATTTTGATTAATATGTATTGTACCAATTTTCCACAATAAATGCCTTTTTCAAGTGAAAAAATGATCAAAATTTTTGCAAATATCTAATAGCAATTTTTAGTTGTTGAGGAATAAGTGAAAATGAAAAATGGAATTTCAGTAGTTAGGTATGTGTTTTGCTTTTTACCCAATTTTTCAAAAGATTACTTGTTCTTCTTCTTTTTTTTTTCTTCATTCTAAGCATTTCGTCTCATTGAAAAAGAACTTTTTAAACCATTCAACTTTTCTATTTTATTTGTTTTTACGTACATATTTTTTCCCATATACTTTTCATAAACATTAATAATCGCTGTCCATTATTTATTAACACCGCTTTTCAAACTTACCAATTGTAGGATCATGATAATCCAAAAAATTGTGACTAACGAATTGTAGAGTAACAGCTGATGGCCAACACCGCATAGATAATTTATGTAAGAACAGGGAGAACAAAACAAAAAAAAAAAACGTGATGAGAATAATTATAGAAACAAATAATAAATAATAACAACGACCAAGGCAACATTACAGCGATAGAGCATAGCAAACAGATGGGAACATAGAAATAAGTATAAACAAATACCAAAGTTCGTGATAAGATGAAAGCGGTCGGGCGGCGGGCAAACGGCAACAGCAGCAGCACAACATATGTAGAACGAAAAGAACAAGAAAATGCGCAAAAATTATTTATTGATTTTTCGTTTAGGAGAACGCTTACAAACGAAAATTGTCATATATATATATATATATATATATCTTACCAGATTTACCAACCCCACCATCACCTAGAATAACAATCTTATAGACGCGTAGGCCACCTCGCATATTCTGCGACGAATCTACGGGTTTCGCATTCACCTGATTGCTATTGCTTTGGCCATTGTCGACTGTGTCGCGGTTACTACCAATTTTCAATTTCGTGGTTCTTTTCAAAGCGGCACAACCAATTGTGGACTTATCACCAGCAGCCATAACTTTAGACCGGTTATCAGTTCAATTCGTATATTGAACCGACGTTTTTTAATTCCTTTTTTTAATAAAAATATAATAATTTCCCGGTGCGAGAAGTTTTCTTTTTCTTTTTTGCTTTTTTATTGTTTACTCATTCGATAGCTACTTGTATACATAAAATACCGTATGTTGTGCGTACTTTAATTATATTCTTTTTTGTTTATTTAATGCGTTTTCTTTGTGTTTCTATTCGACACATGTTTCTTCGCATGAAAAATTTCCCATTATATTAATAAATTGCAAATTTTTATTTATTATTTTTATAGCGAATTTATTTTTTAATATCCGTTTTCAACTATAGTTCGACCGTTTATCGCCATTATCGGCTCGCATTGTTCATGCGTGTTTGCACCGAGAAAACTGCACACTATATTTCTCAAAAACTGCAATATTTCTTATAATCATCTAAGAGCAAAATCATCTTTGCACTTTTAATAGACTGAGTGATACTTTTCGAAAGGATCGTGCTCTAAGTTTAGGAAACAGAATTAGATATGTTGAGAAATCAAAATTTTTTATATTCTATACAAAAAGGCACTTGGAGTCTTAGTGTCCTAGTCGTTGTTGTTACAAAGTTAAGTTATATGTTATCTAAAAGTGATAAGAAGAGACGGATAGGCCAAATTTAGCACAAAAGAAATACACTCGACCTTGTCTAGGAAACCGTGCAAAAAAAACAAAATGTGTAAAATAATTACTCGAGCATATAGTAAATTTGACGATATGTTTCACAATATAAAAAAATTGTGTGAGAAGAAAATCCCGTGCAAAAAAAGTAATAATGAACTCTATAAAGAAAAAAGTTATCAAAAAAGCGTCTGTATGTGGACGTAAACTGGCCGACTTCTGATCATGGTATTCTCCCGATTGTACGTTCTTGTTACATAACTAAATTTTTTAAACTCTGATTGAAAACAAATTTATTTTGATCTTCGTGCTAGAATAAAAAATTCGTTATACGGTATTCCTTTTTATTGGTGAATCGATTAATTCAAAATCTGGTAAGAAGTCAACGGCGCCCTCTTTGAAAGTAAAAACTGATTTGTACTCTGCTCATTCCTCTTCGTTAAATTTGTAGGTAAATTCACGAAAATAACTATATAACTAAATATATTTAGAATATAAATGAGATTAAGGTTGGTAAAGTTAGACGATTGCATTAAAAAAAAAACAAACATAATTACTGATAGAGATAAATTATTTTTGAAAATAGTTTAATATTAGCTAAAGATTGTAATGTTCGATTGATGGACGATCTCTTAATTACGAAAACGATTAATTTTCATTCAAACTCAATTCATCAAATATGGCATTTTTGCAACAATATTTTGATATTTCAATGCACGGTTCACGATAGAAATGAACTCATTCAATTTAGCGCTTCATATAAATAACATTTTTATTATATAATTATTGAAGTTTGGTATATTTAATGCTTATTTTCAGGTTCGGATGCTGAAAAAAGAAATAATATACAAAATATTAAGTATTTTGCAAAATCAAATCTGGGGCGTAATCACGTATCTGAGAGTCAACTTTCGTTCGCGGCTAAACCGATAGTTCATAAACGTTTCTGTCACGATCGCGTAAACCATTTTTGTTGCTATAATTCATATGTGAATGGAAAAGCAGGAAAAACAGACATAAATTTTTGTTTATATTTAATTGTGGCTGTCAAAATAGGAAAATGAACAGCAGGTTCTCCTGTGATAAATAAATAAACGCATTGAGAAATTAATTTTCAAAAATTAATTATATGCTCACTATATATCAAATGAAAAAAGGCGAAAAGAATGGAGAAGTAATTTTTAGTGCAGATTTTCAATTGATTAAGCTAACAAATGTATTATATCTTAAACCAATAGATATGCACACTTTTGCGTTTGTGTGTGTTTACCTCACCGCCGCAATGATGACGATTCTAATGAAATCAATAAGAAAAGTGGCTTATTTACCCAAACAAAAAAGTTCTGTAAAAATCTTAAAGGCGAACTCAAATTTCTCTCGCCAGTAAATTTTGTTTTACTCTATGAATGCAATCCACATGTAATTTGGCAACTATGGGAGATTGTATTTGATGACTGTTGTGTCTACGTAATCGCAAAAAACCATCAGTCATCAACCAATGCTATCATACGCAATGCGAAATCAACCGAAAATCGAAAACATACGCTGACTTTCAGATACGTAATTACTCTCTTGCTAGCGATGTCATTGCGTGAAAGAAACCCTGTCTATACTAAAAATTTAAAATGGTAACGCTGTTTATGCGTTTTTTTAAAATTACTATTTTTCCTGTTTATTGGCCCCTTTAGTCTATAAATCATCATATTTACTTTTAAGACGATTTCATTCATTTCAGTTGCGCTTCGTACGCAGCATAAAGGGTTTTCTTAGAAGCAAAGGAAAGACGGGGTTGTCGGTGCGTTTTTTTACGGGAAAAACCATTAGGGTTTTTAATCTGAACAAAAGCTAACAAAAAGGAATTGTAAAAATTATTCAAATTTATAACAAGAAAAACGATTTTTCGAAATGTTTTTGTTTTTGGTTTTTTTTTTCCTAAAAAACCAAGAAAAAATTGCCATCACATCATGAGTACAAAAAGTTAGTAAATTTCTTTACAATTTAAATTTTCCGGTAGGCCTAAAAAGCTTCGCAAAAGCTAAGTAAAGCTCCCTAACTAACAAAACGTGCTTTTTGTCTCCAAAAAGTTAAACATTGACATTCATGCCCTCATAAATTCTGGGGAAATTTTAAGTTTCTTTTTAGGGACCTTGGGAAGGAAATTTTTTTTTTTTTTGCAACCTTTTTCTTGAGTTGGTCTGTCCACAAATAATAAAAAAAAAATCAAAGCAACGAATCATTCCTTAAGCGCCCATTGACACTCAAAATGCTGGAGCAACCACTTCTACTTATGGGAAGCAACTCGTATCTACAGAAAAGGTTTAAATTTATGAAACTTAAAACCTAAAAAAGACAATTGCTTATGTAATAAGTAATTAAGGAGCAAATCTTTCTCATATATTTTTGCTGCTCATTTTGCTTGATTCCATTTTGGATTTGGACATAATTGCTAAGTTGATCATTTTCGAAATTATGGGCAGTTCATATCCGATATTCCAAGCTTTTCACGAATGCAACGCGCTCACTTTTCTTGCTTCGAAGAAAAACTTTTGTATAAATTATTTTTTGAGTGGACGGTTTGGAATTTGGCCATATTTTGACTAAGAAGGATAGTAAAAGTGTGCTTTGTGTCATTCGTAGAATAGTGTTCGTGGTCATAGACAACTGCCAAAGTATTATCTTCGGCATGCACTATACTGTCCAGCAACTTTTGCGGCAATTTATGTGAATGACACGAAACCACGTCTATTCAAAGTTCCAAGAAACTATGTAAATACGCTTTAGTGTGATAAATTTTACAGTTGCTTAAAGATAAGAAGTTTTATTACTCTATTCTATAGTACTAATGGCAATCTCTTTTACCGAACCGGACCGAACTAATTTGCATTCCGAATAGGTGTACTCATCTAAGAATAAGCTATAATCTATGTCACGATTTTACAAATCAAAAGCTGTATTAAAAAATATATGGAATTGGCAGACCCAGCTCATTATTAGCTATAATCATATATAGATAACTATTTCTAATTAGTAGGTAAGCTCTTTTGTAACAGACGATTGCATATATTTTGATCAACGACATCTATTTGTGAAAATGACAGAGTAATGTAAAATATCAGTGTACACAAAGATTAAATTCGATGACCTTGACATTTCTTTACATAAAATAACGCTTTTCCACTTATTATTACTGAGTTAATCAGCGTATACAGACGCTAACCAGGGAATTTTGCTTTTGTTGCTTGATTTGAAGATATCTGCTGCCGAAGCCAGTCCGTTTTCGACGGTTTAAAAGTTTGTTATTGTTATGTCAATGACAAAAAGCGGGCTGGCGGATCAAGAAAGTTTAAAGACAAGGAATTGCAAGACTTATTGAAAACCTCTCAAAGAACTTGCGACCAGCTTCGCAGTTGACGAATCAACTTTTTCTAAATGTTTGCAGGCAATGGGAAAGATATATGAAAAGGAAAATAGCTACCACACGAATTGACTGAAAACGCTATTTGGAACTGTTTCAACATCGCGGCCTCATTGCTTGCCAGGAAAACAAAGAAGATTTGTCTCTGTAGGTTATGGGTACTGGCAATGAAAAGTGGAAAAAGTGACAATCTCAGCCTGAAGAAGTCGCGGGTTAGTCCAGAGCCGTCCGCATCGACACCGATTCCGAAATACTAAAGAAGTGCGGAAATGGATCGATGAATGGATCGATGAATGGATCGTTGCCAATATCGTTCTTTCGACATGGCATCGCCATGTTCCCAGAAGGACGGGACATAGTTGTAGAAAATGATGGAAAATATTTTGATTAATATTTATTGAACTATATTTTTCCAATGAACGCCGTTTTCAGGCGCAAATTGATCAAAATGCATGCAAACGCCTAGTATTTCAGTTGAGGTAGTTTCCACTGAACTTTTGCATACAATTTGTCTGCGATTACAAAAGCTTTCCAGTATTTCCCAATTTTTCCTAAAGCTCACGATGCGGTTATAATTGTTTTTTGGCGTATTCTTACACGTCGTCTTTTGGGAAAAGTTGCTCCTGCTCGAAAATCGTTTATAGTTTGAAATCGAGCTGAGTACAACTGCACCCATGTACGTTTACGTATAAGATAAACTTTGAGTTTTACATACGGGGTAAAATTCAAAGATGGAATAGAAAAAAAAATTTTTTTTGAAAAAACTCAGGAACATTGCAATTTATACCTACTTTAGCTTCAGCATTCCTTGATCGATTAGAAAAATGAACTTTAACAAGTAGGAAAATTGCACTCGCCCGCGACTGAGTTTTTTATAGCCGTTCTACTCTTTCAGTTCTTTTCTTTGATACCCAATTGATTGTATTGCTAAAGAAAAACGAGTTCTGCAAGTTTTGAGGTGCACTATATCTACATTGGAATTAACAGGTGAATTGGAATACTACATGATATGTGAGGAATGTACAATATTCTCTCTTATCTTATGAGTAATATGCAGAAAACTTCAATGAAGTGAAAAAATCATATATGACACAATGTGGGCGTGACTGCTTTTTTGCATTTCTGTATACCGATGCTGCAGAATGCCCATAGAATATACGCAGACATTTCTATCTGTTATAGTTTATAAGTAACGAACAAAAGACGAAATTGTTTTTATATTTGGTACCAGATTATATACCCTTTGGGCACACACCCAGTCGACCAAATTTAACCCAACATAATTTTATTTTTTCTTTTATTTTTTGGTGCCTGGTAGGTGAATTCGAAATGAGAAAACCATTAGCCATTACGGGAAGCATTTAATCAACCTAACCGAAAAGTTCTTCTGATTTTCGTTTAAAGAAAACCTACACCAAAAATTTCTAAGAAAAATTTACACCAAAAATTTAGGCTGCGGTCGCTTCCATATTTCTTACTTTTTACAAATTTTTACGCAAGAAAGATTATTTCCTATCAAAACAAAGCTGATTCCAACTTTTTTTGGGTTTCAGTACAACTTCCACCGATTATTTATTATTAAAACACAACAAAATTCAACTTTTTTGGATTTCAATACAACTTGCACTGCGGTCGTATCCCTTCACGGATTTGTCCTATTTTCAACACCAACCCGCATGCAAAAACTGGTAATGTTTTCGCTGGATTTGAAGCCGATTGCTTCATCCTTTCGACCAGGAGAGTGTTAACCACAGATGGAATGAATATGCCTTTCATTTTCTAAAAATGGGCGCCCACGAATTGGGAAAACCCCAAAAATTCTCGAAAAACGGACAATTTTTTTAAGTCATCCTCTATAACTTTCGATCCCGTGAAGATATTTTCCTTTCTTCTTATCTTTATCTTTGAGCCTTTGACGACTTACAACAGTTAACTGTCAAACTAAAGATTTTTCGTAAAAATAAGTTTGTGTGAAACATCTGTCCGAATCTGTAGATTCACTTAAAGGACCTAATTGAAGGGACCTAGACTCAATTAATCACAAATATCATTGATGTTTTTACGATAAATAATTACAACTACAATTAAATATTTATTGTCAATTGTAAATAATTTTTTATATTAATCGAAATATATTGATTTTTTATTCAAAATTTAGTTATATAAAAAGGAAAAAATTCTTTAAATAAATAAATGTACATAAATACCTCAAATTTTTCATATTAGTATTCATCGTGAAATGAATAAAACTTATGGCTGTGAGAACCGAAAAACGTTATTAAACGTTCTCCAGTATGATAACTATCCTCGATTTCAATATCATTGTCACGTAATTTGAAATTGAAACATTTAAAATTTTCTTCGATATGGTCTCGTTTAACACTTGTCGGTATAACGACGACACTCAAAATTCAATAAATAGTTCAATCATATCTGCGCCGGAGTTCTGTTAAAACTTTCTGCCAATTTTTGAACAGTTTTATCGTAAATAAACGGTGGCCACTTATCTTGTGGACGGGGTCGACGGAGAGGCGAATACGCCACGATCACAATATTTCTTTGCCGGATCTACTAGATTTTTCATTGCTTTCCAGGTATCCATGTAATCGACAAATCCTTCACCAACTGGAAAACGTATTAAATATTGATCCACATAATCGAGAGATAATTTTAGAAGAAAAGCAAGCCGGCAAGCACGTTCTACCAATTTGGGTGTATGATGCGTGCTATCAAGTTTGGTAATCACAAATATATCCTCTCTCTTAATGATGTCAGTCGCGTTCTTCTCATTGATGGCACGACCGACCTTTTTCTCGTTGTCACGGACGTAAGCGGTATCTATAAGAGGATAGCATGCTTTATAGCTTCTTCGGTTTTGTCTTTTGGCGATTTCCAAGTCCCTAAATCAACAATCGGCATCTTTTGGCCATGACTCAAAACAACGCAAGGCGCTAAGTTGGACATTTTTGCTCTCTCTCAAGCCACATAAGTTATATTTTCGTATTGTTATTTTATATTTCAAAATGTTATTCTTTGACATTGCCATTGGCAGTTTTCACAACTAATGATTAGTTAGTGAGTGTAAATCGTTTTATAATAAAATTCTTCGATACACATACGATTTGTACTCCTTGATAGGTGCAGGCATTGTTTCAAAAGCTTTATTAATACTTTTTACATCTTCGAATATTTTCAAACAGTTCACAATTCGTTAAATTATTTTTTAGTACATTTTCAATGGTAGGAAATAATAAAAAGAAGAAGAAGAATATCGTTTTAATACTTTTTTTCCGTTAGAGTAACTGCATAGGTGATAATCGCAATTACCAAGCCAGTGTTCGTGCGGTTGAATCTCACACACCCACTTCATTGCGGCCAATCCCTATTTCTTTCCCTCCCATATTCGCCAGGTCTTTGCAATCAACACGTTTTACAGGTATAGGAAACATCCCTTCAGTGATTACGCGGTCATATCTAAGACAATCCTAGCGAATGTTCCTATGAGACTAAAACTGAAGTCATTTGCCAAATGAAGCCGAATAGTAATCTTCTTTAAAATTAATGTATGACCACCAAGTAAGAGCGACCATGTCTCTATCTTTTTCCCTTTCTTCGCTTGTTCTTGATCAAATTTAATTACATTATCCTGTTTTGGGCTGAAGATAAGCCACATTAACCATTGGTTGGTTACCCATTTTGGGGATCCGAAAGTAAAGGTAAATAAAACGTACTTCTGATTGAAATTTGGATTAAATTTCTTTTTCAATATTCTATTTGGGCCTTGTGTATGTATCGTTCTCCATTTTACTAGTCTATCTCATTTAGTGTCCGACGGCATTCCACCACAAGCGTAGATGTTATGATTCACCCCTTACGGGACTTTAAAGCGCCTGGACTGGCTTAGTATATGCAGATCCGCCACACATGTTTCGATTGCGTAGACATCTGCTTCTACGCTAAGGAATAAATATTCGTCGTCAAAGAAGTAAATATAAATTAATCTTAGTAAGGTATCTAAACACATACTTAGATAACCTACAGAAAATATGAAAATTTATTGCGAAAGCAAAGAGCCCACGGTTACTTCGTAGCTTCGCAAATAAGAATGACCCTTTGGTGTGAAGAAAGTACATCTGACATGCCTAAAGGACTTGCACGAGTACAATAATAACTTTCGAGATCGGTTTGTAGGCCGAAAATGCAATTTTTGAACATGTGAAATTGCATTACAGTTACCGCCAATGGAGAACGCTAGGAAAACATTTGTCAAAAATTAGACGATTCTGACTTTGCTGGTATGTAGCTTCAATAAAATGTTGTAACATGCCATATATCTCATCTCATGGCACCATCGATTTATTACGAGAAAAGTTCAACGACCAAAGATGCGTATGCGAGCTTGTCCCCAAGGTCACGCAATGTAACACTATTGGACTTAAGTTGGCTTACCTCCTGCTCTCAATGATCTCATTCATCAAACTCGTTCGTGTTGTTTGTGAAAGAAAAGTAGATTTAGATGGAAGAGTAGCAACAATTGGTGTTCCAACATTGAATTATTTTAGAAGTCCAGAGAAATAAAATTAGTTTTCAATAAAAACACCGTTAAATACTATGCTAAGTTTTGTTTTTCTTACATGTTTGTTGAACCTATATCGGCAAAGCTAACAACTTTTAATTTTTGTACTCATGCATCTGCATTGAATGGGGCAACTTGTTACACCTGTTCCCATATAAAAAATAACCAAAAAAGTTTAACTTTTTGCAACTTGATATTAAAGTTAGAGCACAGTAATGATATAACCAATAAATTCTCTCCGCTACGTTTGGCATTAATACGTATATTTCTTGGATCTCTCAATGAAAGATTAAGGAACAATGTAAAATTTTGAGTGTAAATGTATAACATAATAAAGTATTAGGCTAAATGGTGTAATATGTATGCAATACTCGAGTCTGCTTGTTTATAACGTTTAAACTTATTTTAATATTCATCGTTAAACGGATAAAATTTATGATTGCACATACCAGGAAACGTTATTAAACGTTCCCCCGTATCATAATCGTCCATGATTTTAAGCTCGTCCGGATTTAATTGGAAATCAAAGCAACGGAAATTCTCCGCGATACGGTCTCGGTTAACAGATTTCGGTATCACTATGGCGCCCAAATGCAGTAAATAGTTCAGACATACTTGTACTGGCGTTTTGCTATGGTTTTTAGCTATATCTTGAACAATTTTGTCATTAAGAAATGGTGGCCATTTCTCTGCAGGTATTGGTCGACCGAGAGGTGAATACGCCACGATCGTAATATTTCTTTTACGACAAAACTCGATGAGTTTTTTCTGATTAAAACCAGGATGGCATTCAACCTGATTCACAACAGGTCGTATTCGGCAATTTTCCAAAATCCGATCTATTTGTTTCGCATTAAAGTTAGATAGACCAATACCTTTAGCTAAGCCTACATCTACTAGCTTTTCCATTGCTTTCCAGGTATCCAAGTAATCGACAAATCCTTCACCAACTGGAAAATGTATTAAATATTGATCCACATAATCTAGAGATAATTTTAGAAGACTTTCTCGGCAAGCCCGTTCTACCAATTTGGGTGTATGATGCCTGCTATCAAGTTTGGTAGTCACAAATATATCCTCTCTCTTAATGATACCAGCAGCGATCTTTCTATTTATAGCGCGACCAATTTCTCTTTCATTTCCATAAACAAAAGCGGTATCTATAAGACGATAACCGATATCAATGGCGTCCGTTACGGCCCGTTCAGCTTGATCTTTTAGTGCCTGCCAAGTACCTAAACCAACAGTTGGCATCCTTTGGCCGTTATTTAATTGAACACTTGGCGCTAAGTTAGACATTTCTCCTGCGCAATACAAACTGACAAAACTATTTAATTTTTATATATTTGTTTTTATTTGTTTTTTCTTAATTTTTGTTTTCGTTTTCATCTAAATTGTTATTTTTTCCACTATTTCTATTGCAAATTTTTTTTTATGTGTTAGTCATCGCCTGGTTTATCTGGTCAAAGCTTTCGTATGGTTTAATTGCGTTAAGCTTTCTATACAATGTTTCCAACATATGTGACTGCTTTGTTTATTTGGTCTTGACGGAAGCTCTCGATAACATAACTTGCATATGAAAAAATTCGTTAAAAGAAAATGTCACTGAATTGTTGAGTTCGTTGCCATTTAAAATATTTATGAAATACTTTTGTGGGTGGGGAAATACTTTTTGTGGCTTGGGAATATGAGCCGAGTTTTCAATGTATGCGTTCAATAATGCCAAACACACTTTCGTATTGTTATTTCACTGCCACCCACCCTCAATAGCGCGGAAACCTTTGATCATCTTCCATAGAATGTGACTGCTTAGTAAAAAGGTCAAGCGGGTGACTACCGATATTCTAGATGGTTGGGGAGTTTGCCAGAAGAATGGCTGTGATGAGAAAAACATCTACTTAGAGGGGAGAAAAAATTAGGGATTAGTACACCAACTTTCCTCTTGACAAGTTGGGCCCTTACGCCTGTCATTGATGCGCAAAATTAAAATTTTTTATAGAAAATTGTGTAAATCGAATATAAGCGTAAATCGGTTTTTTAAAAGTCTACTCAGGCCGAAATGACTGCTTAGTAGAATCCCATTGAATTGCTACACAAAAAACTTTGTCTTTCATAACAAAGTAAAGTAGTCCTCTATCAACTGTTTGATGTGGGGCATGATGCATTCAACTGTTTTTTTACCTTCTGAAATGGAAAGCTTTGGGAATTTAAATAAGGCAATAGCGCTAAGGCGACAGCTGAAAAAATATGCACCGTATACTGTAAAGGGTTGGTTTGTAAAATTTCGTTCTGGTGATACGACCTTAAAAGAGGAAACGGGGGCGAGACTTCCTTCCGACTTTGACAAGAATCTTTTAAAAATAAATTATTATGCAAGAATTTTCAGCAAGAATTATTGAGAATAACACCTTTTCAGCAGGTCCCTATGAATGTTTCCATGGTAGAGGATTTAAAAGCTTACTCCACCCAATTCGAATGTTTCACACCACTTCAGAATGTGTAATGTGTCTTACTCAGCGATTTTTATCGCGAAATTCAAAAGTTGGACTGTTTTTCAAATTAAGGCTTATCGTCTTTGGGTCAAAACGTGCCAGTATACTAAGATATCTTAAAAATAGCGCCTTGACCACAAATTTACATGGACAGACATCAGACGGACAGACAGGCTTAGATCGATTCAAAATGATATTTCGAATCGATCGGTATAAAAAAAGAAAAGTCTATCTCAAGTCCTTCTCGGTGTTACATATGTCCGCACAAACTTAATTTACCTTGCATCAAAAGTGGTGTAGGGTATAAAGATAAATTAAAAATAATTTATTTGGATTATTATTTTGCTTATTTGATTATTTATGTTCTTCTTCTACTTTTCATTTATTTCCATTTACGTATATTGTTAATCACGCTTCAAACATATCGCAAATACAACGCTGTTTTTGTCTCGACTAAAAAAATTTCGTTCCACTCAACAGCACTCGACTCTCTCGCATAAACTAACAAAATAACATTGATGGAACAAATGGTCGACACAATTGCGCATTCGACTTTAAAAGCGGAAAATTGATTCCTGGTCGCCATTGATTTCTCTCAAGTTTGCTCAGGCAGTGATGATGAAAACATTAGGTGGATATATTAGTTGTCAATAAATTTGCAAATTGTCGGTGACATCTTCAATATAATCATATTGTAACTATATTTAAAACAAAACAGTTGTAATGTTTTTGATAGATCTCTAGGGTATCTCCAAGATATGGTGCGCATCGCTGTCTCGGGAGTAAGAAATTTTGTAATAAAATTTTTTTCTTCAATAATTTTTTTTTAACACCACATTTTATTTGTTAAAATTTGAAAATAACTACAACGAAAAGGAAGAAAAGACTCTCTAATGAAATTTTTCACATTACATTTTTATATATTTAAATATTAAATACTTTAAAGTATGCTTGATTTGTTTCTTTGTTTGCATGCTTTGCTAAAAATTGCTGTTACAGATTTATTTATATTATTATTTAATCTTTTTAATTCAAATCTTTTCGATAATTATCTCTTAAAGTTCTTATTTTCTTACACAATAATTGGAGTTATTTTCTTACAGTGAGCTTTTTCTTATTATTTTTATATGATTAAAACAAAAAAAAGAAAAAAAAAATAGTTTAGATTAAAATTGCTTTTTCGAGACTTTTATGCTTTATGTTGTGTGTGTTTACACTTTCTGTTCTGTTCTTTGATTATTGATTAACATATACATGTATGAATGTATATATGTAGTAGGTTTTGAAATTTGATTTTGAGGATTGTCCGATTAAGTCACGTAAAGATCTCTTCTGCTTCTTTATAAGAAATAAATATGTGCAAAATACTTTTAGCAGATTATAAAAGCAATGATATCCGTATGCACTCACTAGCGTCATTTGTGAGCGATGGTATTGACACTTATCATGATTGGCACTTTCATGACATTATCTAATAATAAGGAAACCAGAACTTGCCGAATCCAGCAATAAAGAGACAACGGAATTTGGATTACTTTACAATTTACAACAACAGTGCAGTTGTCCGCATCTGTAGCCGAATAGGCAAGAATCGCGACTAGCAAGTCATTGTTCAAAGCCCAACAGAGATGAATTTACTTTGGTTATAGTTACAGCGTGTGCGCAGTCGGTGAAGACGCACAGATTAGGTAAACATCCGCTTGGCTGCGGTCACCTTCCTATCTCTCGCTCTTCAATATTAAATTAATGTATTTCTTACTCTTACTAAGGACGAGCATAAAGCGCATAATATGGCTTGACTGATAATAATCTGTAAATAACGTTGATGAAGGACGTAAAGATTGAAGTTTTCTTGGGTAGTGTATCATGTTAGCAAACACTAGGCTAGTAGTAAACCAAATTTCCGGAATCTAGTTGTAAGTTTTAGCTGACTTTCGTCACTTACCCAATGAATACATCGTCCGGCTCTCCTCAGACGATAGCGAGATTTTTGGAGATTTCAAAAAAAATGCAGTAAGATCCCAACGAGGCAAGTGTTATCTTGGCATCAAGTTTTCCTGAGCACTAAAAGTGATATTTCCGTTCGATCAATAGTGTTCGGTACTAAAAGACGTCATCAGTCAAATGGCTGATAAATTCGAATGAATTTACGAGGGAACCCCAGACTCGCCTTTCGACTAATAACAAACACTGAGAATAACCTGATCTTAGTTTAAGCCTTAGTCTTCAATTCTGAGAGACAGATTTTGAAGTCGCCAAAACTTTTATTAAAAGTTTAAGTTAGTAAACATTAATGATGGGAACCTTGTTGCTCCTCTTACCAATGATGCCAAAGGATCCACCAGTTTAATATGAAGATCTTATAAGAACCCTCAAGGAAATAGAAGTATCTCCGTTGTTTAGGTGGGTACTAAAATACTGAAGGATATGGACCATCACTTTCTCTTTGAGTGCAGTGATGTCTATCTAATACCTCAATTTTGACCTAAAGGGGATTTGGCCTGCTTGAGCTGTAAGTTGAAGTCGGAGTCCGGAGTTGTCAGGATGAGAAAAAACAAAATTATCGAAATGTTCAACAAAATGACACGGTAAGCATATCGGCCGGTTTTTAAACAACGACCACAATAAGTTTTACGCGTCATATCTTAAATTATTATTGTCTTTCGATTTCAAAAATTTAATAGAGAGATATATGCTTCATAGAGATCCGTCTTAATATGTAATGACCCTATCATATATGACAACATTTGCAGCAAATCTTGATTTCGTTAGTAACTGGGCGATGTCTTGATGATGGTTGCTTAAAACAATCTGAACCTAGGCCAGTTGCCAATTTATTGTTCTCGACATTTTGACAGCAATTTTTCATCCGATAATAAGAGAAATGCGTACCTTTTTGGCAGCTATAGCAGCGGGTCAGTAATCGACAGCTAGCTCTAGAGTCCCTAAAATTTTCTTTGGGTACATTTGAGAGGTTTTCCCTGCTATAGGCATTTCTTGTAAATCAGAAAGTTCCACATCGAAATGGAATTTCACTTAATGTTTATGGAACTACGTAGTAGCCTATGTATAGACGCATATTTTTGCAACTTTGACTTTCCTAATATGACGCGAAGGTGTCAAACCATATTGCTTACGTCGTTCATTCTGTAAAATCTCGTCCATTTTACATGGCTCTATTTGGGAATATTACGCTAATTAGTCTTAACTGGACTTGCAAAGCTATTACCTATGATGTTGATGTGAGAACATTTCTATTATGATTGCACCTTTTCCTGCTAATTGGACAAGCATGAGAATTTATGGGGATTTTAGGAATTATTGAACGGATAAAATATGAATTAAAGATACATCCCGCGCATAATTATGACATTTTGTCTTCGCATTGTTTAGAAGTAAAGACTATTGCCGGACATTAGTTTATCGCCGATGTATCAAGAAGATTTTTCTTATATAATTTTGTTATTTGTTATTAATTTTCGCACATATTTACTTTTCGTTCTTGATGTATACACACACACACACACACACATATATATATATATATATATATATAGATATATCTAACAATATATTCAAGATTTTATTTGTACATCATGCATAAAAAAATTTAAGAATATTAATAAAATATATTTTCTATTATAATTTTTGATTTTGTTGTTATATTATTTTTTTTTTCTTTTCGTTTCAAGTTAACATTTAACTCCTAATTAAGCTAAAAAAATTTTTAAGATGCGAAAAATTCCCTTTTCTTATTTTTAGTATGCTTGTTGTTGTGAATAGAAGTTTATTTGTATTATGCTTTGTTTGTTAATAAACGGTTTTTAGTTTTAGGCGTTTTCTTGTTCATTGGTTTTTCCCATCATGCGTTGGACGTTTAAAAGGTATATAACATTATCAAGTAAATAAAGTAATTAAGGAAAGGCTTT